TTTATTATTCTTTTTTTTTTCTTTGAATGTCAGCAGAATCCTCTTCTGGAATACAAATTTATATTTGAAATTACTTATTCTTTCAGTGGAAGAGTTATAACCAGAATCTAGATTTCTGCTATTTCATAATGTTTCTCTAAATGCCTAAATTTCCATAGGTATTTTGTACCTTCTCTCTTCACTGTAATGAATAAGAAAAAGCTTTCTTAAATCACATTTACAGTTTTTAGTGCAGTTTCTCCTTGTCTACCAAGGGTCTCTGAGAAGTTGCTGTTATGGCCTGGTATTATAGTACCTCTGGGACCAGGTATTACTGGGAGGCTTTATAATAGTTAAAAGAAGCTTGTGAAAATGGGGTTTTGGTAATCATGCAACAGTTGTTAATTCTTTAGTCTCCATCCTATTAATTATGTGTTAGTTCAGGGAAGAGTTTTGTTTCTTTTCCCAGATTGGTTACATTCTAGCTAGCATCCCATCAGTGTTACCATGTCTACTTTGAAAGAGTTTCTCTTCTTCACTTTTATTTAAAAAATAATTTGTCTTTAGTTTTTCTGTAGTTCAACCTCCTTTTCAAAGGCTTGGCATTGAGATTAACTACTTTTTTAGATGCAGAGTGAGTGATATTTCAAATTCAGGTTTCTGTTACTCCATACCATACTCCAAATGTCTACTTCTCAATATTTTATACCTTCTTTTCACCTTATTGAACATAAAACATATTTTTTAAAAATAGTCAATCATCTACTTTTCTATTTGGAGATCCTAAGAAGATTTTGCTGTAAATGACCTAAAAGGGAGAATAGGTGGGAGCAGACAGATATGGGCAGGGTTATTCTAATTACTGAGTTACTTGCAGCCAGGGAGTAGGGGAGACTTTCTAGAAGTTCAAGAAGCATATGCTAAAGTCTAAGATCCCACCTTCTTCTTATGTGTCTTTAGGATTGTATTGTTGAAAAGCTCTTAATATATGATAATGGCTCATGACTATAATCCCAGCACTTTGGAAGGCTGAAGTGGGAGGATCCCTTGAGCCCAGGAGTTCAAGACCAGTCTGGGCAACATAGTAAAACCTCATCTCTAAAAA